TGTTAAGATGAACACAAATTAAGGCATTAAAGAAAGAGGAAAATGTTAAGAACACCAATTAAAGCAAAATGACGGAGCAAAAAAGTGGATAAAAGCTCGAATTAAAGCATTAGATAGAAGTTAAAAGTGGACGAAGACACCAATTAATGCATTAACAAAGGAGATAAAAGTGGTCGAAAACACCAATTAAAGCATTATCAAAAGAGTTAAAAGTGGACGAAAACATTAATTATAGCATTAACGGAGTAGTAAAACGTAAACGAAAATATCAATTATAGTATTAAGTAGTAAAACGTAAACGAAAATATCAATTATAGTATTAAGTAGTAAAAAGTGGACGAAAACATCCATTGTAGCATTAACTAAGTCGTAAAAAGGGGACGAAAACATCCATTGTAGCATTAACTAAGTAGTAAAAAGTGGACGAAAATATCCATTATAGCATTAACTAAGTCGTAAAAAGTGGATTAAAACATGAATTATAGCATTAACTAAGTAGTAGAAAGTGGACGAAAACATCCATTGTAGCATTAACTACGTCGTAAAAAGTGGACGAAAACATCTATTGTATCAATAACTAAGTAGTAAAAAGTGGACGAAAACATCCATTGTAGCATTAACAAAGTATTAAAAAGTGGACGAAAACATCCATTGTAGCATTAACTAAGTCGTAAAAAGTGGACGAAAACATCAATTATAGCATTAACTAAGTCGTAAAAGTGGACGAAGACACCAATTAAAGCATTAACTAAGTCGTAAAAAGTGGACGAAGACACCAATTAAAGCATTAACGAAGTCTAAACATTTCCATAACATTTAAAAACTTTATAAACCTTTTCTGTGCTTTCGCACATTAATATACTTGCAGTTGCAGGTAGAAAACTGGTGGACGCCATCTTTAACGTTTACAAAAAAAAACACAAGTATAAAGAGATAGATAAATGTAACTTAAAACTGGTTATCACAATCAACTGAAACCATCTGGGTGGAAGTAATTAAGAACGACATCAACCAGAATCGCTTGTGTCACTCGTATTGAATTTCTAAGTAATGCACTAACGGTAAAGTAGCTTCGGTCTTGAAACGTAACCGCCATATCTAAAGTTGATCACCCGGATGAAATAGATACTCTAGAACACAGGGTTCTTGTTCGATAAATATAAAATTATTTTAAAAAGGTCAAGTATCACAACGTTTGGAGGGAGGTTTTAGCCATGATTTCTTTGGAATTAACTCAGCAAAGAATCAGACCTGTATCATTTCGACCTTAGACTGTTACTATAACTAATTCTATGTAAACACTTTTTCAAAAACTGAAATTAATTAATTAATTGATAAAATATTTACGGTTCGTTATTAAACTTTATTCTCAGTATTGGAAGCAAATTACACGAGAATATTTAAATAAACTTGAACTTCTCAACAATGTTGATAAAATCCATGTAGGTCATATATTTAAGTCTCTATAACTAATAAGCTAAGTTTCAGAGGTCAAACCTGTCCACTTTAGTTGAGCGGTGGATTTCTAAGCTGAATGGCGACAGCTTCCAATTAAATTGAACCATCCAAACAGCAGGTCAACAGCGCCTAACAACAACATCACCGTAGCTAGCATCAATATACCACCGAGGCCAAACTTTAATTTCATACTATAAATTTCACTTATATAAGTATATGAGTGTGTGTGAAGGAATCCACAAAAACACATGGCGTAGAAATACGAAGTTAATGATAACATACTGAGACGATAAAATTTTTACAACTCACGTTATCATGAGAGAAATAAAACACTATTAATACTTTACAGATAACACACTATACCTACTGAACAGAGATAACACATTATACCTACTGAACAGAGATAACACACTATACCTACTGAACAGAGATAACACACTATACCTACCGAACAGAGATACAGGGGCGGATTGGCCTATCAGGATACCGGGACTTGTCCCGGTGGGCCGATAGTCCAACTTAATTTTGGGCCGATCTACATAAAAGTATTGCTCAATG